ATGGATGTTGAAAGATAACATTGAGAAAGTTTGTCAAAAAGTTGAGTAAAGAAAGCATTGAAGATGGGAATTTTAACGAGAAAATGAGAAAATGAGAAGACCAGTCCAAGAGGCCCAGCGTTGGTAGCAAGCATTCCTTAATGAGAAAAAAAGAAAACCAAGGGGAGAAATCAAGCAATCAAGCAATCAAGCAATCAAGCAATCATCCTAGAACTGAAGAGCAGGAATTTCAAATAGAAACACTCACCAAACGTTCAGCCAAGGGCTCAGTAATGTTCAATGGATGAAAATGGACCGATACCAAGGTCCATCTACCAGAATCTTAAGATTTCAGGAGTGAATGAGGAGAACCTGAACATGTTCAGAAGAACCACCAGCCACAGACGATTAGGAACGAGTGCACCTCGTACTGGCAGCCTGAGGGCCGTGTCAGAATTCTGAAGGAACATGATTTCCAAGGCTGAGTTCTGTCCAGTCAAGTGATCTCTAAAGTATCAGGGAGAAAAAGACATTTACAGATTCATTAGTTTACAAAACTTTTGCTGTCACACCTCATTTCATAGGAAGCTATTGGAAGATGTGTGTTACCAAAGGAGTAGACCAAGAAAGCTGACACATGTGGACACAGGGACAGGAGACCCTGCCAGGAGGGAGGGGACACACCAGGGAATGACAGGGGCAGCAGGCATCAGTGCCTGCGAGGTGGCACCACTCAGAGACTCCATGCGGGGACGAGGCAACTAGAGGAGGGCTGAGGTCGAATTAGCAACCAACACAAATGAGACCAAGCACAACGAAAGGCTAGCACAGGCTGTGGGGAGCAGGCACTGTCCTAACCTGCCACACAGCTCACTTAAGACAAGGATTTGGGGATGTAAGCACTAATCCAGCGAAGTCACACTGAAACTCTGCCAGGAAGACAGAGGGGCAAGGCAGCCAGCACAGATAGTTGGGGAGTGATGGGTGGGGGTATCCCTCGCATTTATAGATGGAATTGGATACATGTTGTTGGAAACTGTAAAGCCAACGGGTAGCGACATAAACATTTTACCTGGACCATGGAAACAGTCTATCAAATAATCAGTTAAAAGAAGAAATAGTCATCACTTTTAGAGAAGGAGAAAAGGATAAGAGGTTTATCATGCTGTTTATAATAAACAGTATCATTAGATTTTTAGTCTTCTGCATATATTACTTTAATAAAGGAAAAGAAGAACAGAACAGAATACACTTTGAGAATATGAAGGAAAGAAATAGTGAAGAGAAAAAATACAGATAAAATAGGAACTATCATAAAAGTTATTTTATTTATTGAAAAGGTGAATAAAAAGACAAGCCTTTAGCTGGGCATGGTAGCACATGCCTGCCATCGCAGCACTCAGGAATCTAGTTGTGAGTTCGAGACCTACAAAGTGAGCTCAAGGCCAGCCTGACCTGCATAGAGAGACCCTGTCTCAAAATAAATAAATAAATAGATAAATGACAAGCCTCTCACAAGACACAGGAAAAAAAGACAAAAGTAAGTACTGGAAGTTAATTTTTCATTCAATAAACACTGAGAGCTGGTGTGCTAAGCACACAAGAGCAGACAAGACAAAGCGGCCCCTTCACTGATCCTATGCTGACAGAAAGGATTACATGGGACACAGAAACACTAAGAATAAAGGCAAATGAGCACCTGCTGTCCTCCACTGGGCAAGAACTTCCGTCAGTAAAGAAACGAGACAAGCTACAGATGGGGGAAGAGAACTGAGACACTAAGTACAGGCTCCTGAACACATAAACATCGATGAATGAAGAAGCTCTTGTAGGGAACTGGGCCAAGAACAGCAGTGTACTAAATCGTGGTACACGGTGACCAGCCAACATGGGCGAGCCTTTACCCTCACTCTCAAGGCAGGCGGCGCAAACGAAAAGCACAGCGAGGTGCCGTTCCTCAGGAGTAGATAGGCAGAATTTCCGAAAGTGTGAGACCTCTAAATTTGGACAAGGATGTTAAATAACAGGGCCTTGGATCCACTACTAGTGCACTCTGGAACAGCTACGTAAGCAGTATCTGGGACAATACGCCCTCAAGGCCAGCATCTCCTCATCCCTGAGTACACCCAAAGAAACTCCCACGCATAAGCGAAAATACATAGAAGAGTACTCAGGTCGGCACTGAGAAGTCGGGAAGCAGCGTATACGTCCCCCAGCAGAGAGATGGGTAAGTTAAAGCGGAGCTGCTGAGGGAGTAACCAAGCGTCTGCAGCTGCTAGCCTCACGGACTTGGAAGGGCGAGTCGTGGAAGGCTCCACCCGCGCGGCTCCCGATCCGCACTCACCCTGCTTTGTAAATGCCGAAGCAAATGCATGTTTCAAGCTACAGATGTTTGTGGTAAGCCCACGAGGTGACGCCAGGGGACACTAGTGCAAAATCGAGCCAGTGGCTCTGCTGTCATGGAGGAGAGGCGGTGAGGTGCGCTGTGCTTCCTCTGTGGTGGGGTGGCAGCGCATGATGCTGTCCCCACTGTCCTCTCAACCCTCCATAATATTACACACTGTCTTAGATAGTCAATGGACCCCACTAATGATCCATAGTGTAAATGGAGAAGTCGATACAAAAGGGCAATGTAGAAGTGCTGGTCCCCTAAAAAAATTCCCCTCTAATTTATGTGGGAAAATGCAAATAAAATGGAAAATGAAAAAAAGGACATAATACACAATGTTAAACTTATAGATAAACACTATGCATGGCGGCTATGAACGCATTGGCTCAAAAAAGGTAAGTTAGAAATAACGGGTGAAACAATTAGCATAACAAAGAGCCCAAGCAGATGAACACAAGGAAATTAAAGTTATGAGGAAGCTCCTCGAATTAAGCAATCACATGCTTTTCCTTGAGTTTATGGAGTGAACAATATCTTTGTTCATTAAAGCTATTTTGGAAAAGGGAAAAACACAACAGCGAAGGGCCAGCTGGCCCCCTGCCGACTTCCTGAGCATCCTAATTCGCTGCCCTGGAGAGTCCTCTGCGCAGTGGGGTGAATCACACACGCAACACAGGTGTCACGACTGCACAGGGCCACACGACAGCCCCGCCCTCTGCTACAGTGTTTCGTAGCACAGCAAACAGAAAACTTAACAAGGAGAGCTGTCCCTCAGACAGACCATTTCTACTCCGATTAAAACATGAGTCTATTCCAATCCAAGAGCAACCGGCACAGTACTGAAAAGTTCTAGCACAGCTTTCGGAGCTCTTACAGGAAGTGCCAAGGATGGTTCCAGATTTTGGAATAGCTGCTCATACACAGTGAGTTATTTTACGGAAGAATCCAAGATTAAACCCTAAATTCACTCATGTCTCACGCACACCCTATTATTTCCACACCCACCCTGAAGGTGACTGAATTCACAGGAGAGCGGGTAGTGCGCTCGCATTCTGGCTGCAGCCTGGCACCAGAGGCGAGGCATGCAAACTTCTGCCTGTGGCAGTGCGTCAGTGCCCAACAAGGCTGAAGTTTGGAGCATCTCAGAGTTTGGTTTTAGGGAACATGGATGCTCAACCTGTACCTCAGAGGAAATATGCCTATTGCGATTCTGTATGGTCTTTAGTCTTAGCCAGTCATTCAGGGATTCAACAGGAATAAGAAAAAACAAAAACTAAAAATGAAATCCCATGAACATTTAAATATGAGATTTAGGAGTGGAAAGAGTGAAATCCTTGGAATTGCTAGCATTTCTTTATGGAGCAGCTTCCAGTCACAGCAAGCAGGGTGGCCTGGCTGAGGTGTACGGTTGTGTCTTCAAGTCATCACTCACGCTTGACCGTAAAAGCCTTCGTGCACCAAGGTCTGACTTCATTGCCTTGCTCTCCTATAGCAGCGCAATACAGGCTGGCACTACTGACAGTGAAGAGCTGACCAAGTGATGCCAATGAAAGGTCACGCCACAGCAGCAGGACTGTGCGCCGACCTCTTCCAGTTCATCTCCCCATCATTTCTCTTTTCATATATCATAAAACTGTGTGATACAGAATGAAACATCTAAAGTGCCTTAATTTGGTTGTAATATAACATACAAATTCTGAGAATAGTCATAATTCTGTTAGCTAAGCTAAATGTTTTTGTTTTGAAAACTGAGATTTAGAATTAATATATTTAAATTCCATACAAGAGTCGAGTCCTAAACATTGCAGGTGGGAAGTTATCACAGTAAGATATAAATTCCTGCCTATTTCACCAGGCTATTGTGAAAAATCATTAATAAAAGTTTGTAAAATTATTTTAAACCCTGCAAAATATTAGCAAAAACTGCAATGTTAGTGTTTTACTTAAGGCAGTAGGCTTTCTAGCCTGTCCAGTGGTGGCAGAAAGGCTTGCCCTGCCTGTGTGCCTCCAGATCAGTGGGTTCTTTAGGACACGGTGGAGCCACTGAACTGTCCTGTGCACAGCTCCCAGGCAACAAGCCCGTGCTGCTTCTTGGCTGCCAAACTTTGTGCCAGGCATGACTGGCACAGCAAACTGCATGGCAACGCTGGCCTGAGTGGTGCTTGTAGCCTAGCAAGAGCTAGAGGACGGTCCAGCGCTGGTGGCCCTCTACGTCCACACAGACAGAGAGCTATGAGACATCAGAACAGGGGCACAATGTTCCCTGGAGAAGCGGTGTTGTGGGCACTCAAGCTGCCCTCTGGTGTGCAACCCAGGGTGGCTGTTCCTCCCTGGAGAAGGGTGTGTGGACCCCGCACTGTCGGGCATGTGACAGGATGCATGGGGTGCTGCCCACAGGACAGCTGAGGTCTTTTCTAAACCACAGCCTCTAACTTCATGCCAAACACGGACAGAACAAGGTCAGGAAGGGGAGGGTTCAGAGAGGCACAAGCTGCCACAAGAAAGGAGCGTGCCAGTTTGCAATGTATCCTGGGACAACTGTGGCAGCACATGCTGGTGTGTTTGCTGTGCTGTCAGGCCAACCTTGCCCACCTGGTTTCCTCCCACTGCCTCCCACGTGCATCACTCTTACCAAGACAGAAGCATCCTGAGGAGACCTCCAGCATCCATTCTTTTCCCAGATGAGAAAACGTATCAGGTTTGGGTCCTAAGAGTCCTGTTTTTGAGGAGAAAAATAAGGACCACATCTAATCATAATAGAGAGAAAAATCTTTGTAAGGATAAGATCTGGTCCTCAGAACTTCCCAGAAAGGGTGATGGGACAGGAAGGCCCAGACAATCACCTGCTTGGAGAAGGAAGAATGGCTCAGGCCTGGCGCCGACACCTGCTCCTATGTCCCACTCTGCTGGAAGATGGGGGATGATACAACCCCTAAATTTCTGAGGTACTTCCACTTAGGACTTCCAACACAGGCTTGGGGACCACGGACAGGCAATGAGCAGCACCGAAGACAACGTTCTTGGCGGCCCTCTCCCCCACCCGTCCTTGTGTGGGACCTTGTGGAAGGCCCTAACCAAGTCCCCGCTTGAGTGTCCACCTTACCGAGTGAGACCAGGTTGCTGTAGTTCTCCAACATCACGTCTCTGTACAGGGCCCTCTGTGGAGGGCTCAGTCGCCCCCACTCCTCCTGCGTGAAGAGCACAGCCACATCCCCGAAGGTCACCAGGCCCTGGAATGGCAAAGCCGGCCTCACTGGCTAGGAGCTCTCTTGGGAGGCTGAGGCCACTGTCCCCTGGAGTGCGTGGGGATTTACAGGGCTCTTAAGCGTACAGGGAGCTGGTGTCCAGGGCAAGGAAGCATTTGATAGGGGCTGGGTTTTGTATCACTACAGCACCCACTGTCCTTTGGTGATGGCAGTACACAACGCTCCTGGTTACCATATGCAGGATATATTTAATCACCTCTGTGGATGGTAGTCCTCTACTTATTAAAAAAAAAAAAAAGTTCCAGGGCCATCCAGATAGCTCAGCGGATTAAAGTGCCTGCTTAGGCAGACACAGGGACAGGGGTTCGATCCCCACGTGCTACACTGGCCCCGCCCCCAGGGTGTGCGGAGATGGTGATTGAGACCAGGCATGGTGGCACACACCTGTGATCCCAGCGCTTGGGAGGCTGAAAACAGGAGAATCACTACGAGTCCGATCTACGTAGTGAGACCCTGTAAACCCTGTCCTAAATACATGTAAAATAAAGTTCCCTGTAAAACAACACACTGTGTCACACTGCTGAAAGCCTCATGCACCTCATGCCCATCTTGACTGCAGCAGGAAGCCCCTGGCTGGCTGGCCCTGGCCTTCTAGATTTGTACAGACACTGCTTATGGGGTTCACACAAAGGCTCTGTATAACTAAGACAGGTAAATGAAATCTTTCTTTCTTTCTTTCTTTCTTTCTTTCTTTCTTTCTTTCTTTCTTTCTTTCTTTCTTTCTTTCTCTTTCTTTCTTTTGTGGTACCAGGGATTAAACTCAGGCCCTTGCACTTGCCATGCAAGTGTTTATTCTACTGAGCTATCTCCCCAGCCCCGGTAATTGAAGTCTAATACATAAAAAATTCAATGTTTTCACAAGGTCTTCCTAGCCAGCCTGGAGCTGGTTTACACAGACAAAGAAAGGTTAAGTAGAAGCTCAAAGAAACCATGGGTGACCAGAAAGGACTTTAGCTTATTTGAGAGGCCACTTCCTCAGCCAAAAGTCCAGTTTACCTTTGCTTCTGGGTTTGGGGAAACAACTCAGCATCTCTCCCACACACACCAACTTCTGCTCAAGGCCCTCCCAAGCAGGCTTCTGTTACCCACCCCTAAGCCCTAGGGAGAGCACAGCAGGCAGCCTAGAGGCACTCGCTGAACTGAACTCATGAGTCAGTGACTGGTTTTCACCTGTGGGTTTCCACCACAGATCAGAATGCTTGGCATGCTGTAGTACATCCCTGATATTTGGCCATTGTGTGGGAACCAAAGGAATGCAGGCTATTAAGCAAGATGGGTGGTGACACTGCGATGCTTTAGACAGTTTGTCCCCAAATGCTTGTATGCTAGGTTTGGTCCTCATGCAAAAGTTCTGAGGGATGGCTTTACAAGATGGCACTGAGTGGGCATCGCTTAGGTAAGGTTTTAAATATGAAGGACTTAGAACAATTTTGCCAAATGCACGAGAATTTATATACCCAAATGAATGTATGAATGTGTCCCCTTCTTTTATTTTGAGACGGGGCCTCACTATGCAGTGCAGGCTAGCCTTGAACTTGTGGCATTCTTCCTACCTCAGCCTCCTGAGGGCTGAGATTACTGGCATGTGCCATCACGCCTAACTGCATATCATTATTTTAAAGGGGCCAGCAACACCCAGAGCTTTTTAGGACCTTACTGAATTTGGAAGCACATTTTTTGTGGGGAGGTATGCTAGGAACGAAACCCAGGCCTTGAGCATGCCGAGCAAGTGCTCTCTGGCTGAGCTACATCCCCATTCCCACATGAGAAGTCTTTTGAATAATTTCATTGGTATCCAGTATTTCTAGGAAGTAAAGGGCCAAATAACATTTTTCAAAAAAGCCAATAAACCCTTCCAAGGCTGCGCCAGGTCTTTCCCACGTTGGACCTGCAACCTTACGTGCCACGTAAGCGCTATGCAGAAGCAGTGTCGGGGGAGAGGTTTCCACTCCAGACCAACCAGCAGGGCCCACACACGACCTTTAGCAAGTCATTGAGCTCTAAGGTCCACTTGGGTGAGCCCAACATGGGGTGGCAGGGAGCAGCTGGTGTCAGCTTTCTGGGGAAGACAGTAATAAGGTGGAGTTCATGGGCAGGGAAGAGACATCCCCACACTTTCCAAATCAGAAGGGAGAAACCCTACTCACCTGGGCCATGGTGGGCAGGTGGCTCACAGCCATTCTTTCTTCTCCAATGCCTCCGCTTAGGCACAGGAAAGCACTGAGGAGGTCGGAGGGGAGCTCTGCAGGCGTAGGATTCCTCAGGCTAGCAGTTTCTCGACATCTGTTAGAGGACAGGGCTGGCTCAAAAGGTGTCACACAGCAGGAGGGAGGGATGCACACCCCAGGGATCCTCCTGTGCCTATTTGCTCCCAACTCTGAGATGATTCTCCCTCCTTCCCCCCAATACCTTTCCTCTAGTCAAACCCAGTTTTCCCTGCTGTATTTGAAATAGTTTAACTTGCGGAAAGCTTGCTCCAGCACCAGTTCTCATACTTCGTAACTACCCTCCTTACCTTCTCCTAAAGCTTAGGACTCCTAAGAAACTGTCCTGGAACTAATGATCCCAAGGGGAGCGGAGGAAGGGGGAAAAGGGTTGAGTCCTTTCTCCTGGAAAGACGCGAGCTAGGGAGGTTAGATTTTCACTGGATGAGTCTCTCAGACCACTCTCTTAGATATCCTGTTTCCATTTGGGTGACCGGGAGTCAAAGGCGAGGTCAGCAACAGGGAACCTGTGCGTCCCCGCCATTCCGTCTGTCCCCAGGGAGGCGTTGCGGGACTGTACTGCAGCGCCCTTGCAAACCCCGTTGCCGGCTCGCACTCAGCCGCAGGAGCCCGACCCCCGGAGCGTCGGAGCTGCAGCTCCACCACGCGCTAGAGGAGGCCCTCACCCCATCCACGCCACTGGTACTGATTCTGACCCGAAACCCAAGATGCCCGACCCTGTCGGACCTTCCCTCATCTGGGATAAATCTCAGACACACATGCTGCGAAGTTTGGGGCATTAGATGAGGGGCCTCCAGAATGGACAACGACCCACACCTCTTCTGCTTTCTCTCAGCCCTTCTTCCCAGACCTGACCACCCCACCATTGCTCGCCCTTCGTGGCTTTGGCCACCATGCCTGGTCACCGCTAGGTCGCCTTTCCAGGAGTATCTACCGGCGGTGAGAGACTGAAGCCACTATAACGAAGTCAGGGCACAATGAGCTGGAATCTGCACCTCCCGGGTCTGAACTGCACTTGCGCGTTGCCACGGGGACCGCGGACCTGAGCTCCCACAAGTCTTAGGGTTGAGCACTTCTGTTTGCAGGACTTCACATCCCAGAAGGCAAAGCGGTGGGTGCTGTACATCTCTGCGTACTGAACTACGTTTCCCAGAAGCCTCTGTAGCCCCCCTCCCCCCCATTCAGCTATCCGCACCTAGACAAGCGGAGCAGTTCAGTGCAAATTCGACTTCCTTCTCTGTCTTGATATAATGCCCCGGAAGCTGTAAAACCAGAGGTTGATCAGAAGATCAGATCCAGGGAGCAGCGTTCTATCTGTCGACAAGAAGCCCCCCAGGGGCTGAGTAGTTCCTGGGAAAGCTGGCAGAATTGCACCCTTGGCCGGAAAGAAGAGTCAGATTCTGTCTGTCTTGCCGACAGCTGCGCCGGGGCGTTGTTCTGAGAGGAGAGGTGACAGTAACTCCTCTAGTCATTGTAAGGTGGGTGAGGATATAGAAGTGAAGGCCCCAGAGGAGGCTACCTCAGCGACTCAGGATGGAGTTGACCACAGCTGGAAGCAGGGAGGGACAAGAGGACTTGACAATGGCGCTGAGAAGTGCCCAGCAGGTAGAACGGGCGAGGGCGAGGGCGAGAGCTCCTGAGTGCTGAGGACTCCATCCTGGACAACTGGACGATGTTCAGAAACTTACTGACTTTGTTAGGCTGGGGTGGGAAGCATGAGGCGACGGGTAGGAATACCCTGGTGGACACCCTTAGTTGTCATTGGATATGTACTGTTCATGGATATCAGGAAGGAAAGATGCGAATTTTATGTGACCTGAGCTTAATCACTTAGGGAATGTCTGACCACCTTTAGGAAGCAGTGGCAGGATGTGACACCACCACAGTGTCTTAAGCTAACATTGGGGTTGTGGTTTCATTCTCTAAATACTTAGGAAGTATTTTATGAGCTCGGCACTACTTTACAGCCCAGATAAGTAGGGGAAAACCTGTACTATTGGAGTTTTAGTCTGCCAGGGGAAGTAGTAAACAGAATAGAAAGTAGCCCATAGAGATAACTGTGCTGGGGTTGGACTGTGATGGGGTGGTACATTAAGTAGCATTTTGGGATATTCTCTTTGACATCTGAATACAGCGGAGAAGGAAACCAAGTGAGGATCTGGTGAAAAGCCACTAAGGGGAGGGAGCAGAAATACTAGGGAGAGAAGTCCACTTAGTGAGCCCGAGGCTTGGCAGGCCCAGTGCGCCTGGCCAGGACACACCAGATGAGGGAGAGTGGAAGATCAGCAGGGCGGTTAATGAGAAGTCTGAAGAGCATGGTAGACAATTTGGACTTATTCTGTATGATAGCATGCCACCAGACAGATTTAAGCCAGCACCATGGCTGAGAACAATAGAATAGAATCACTGGTCAGCTTCAGGAAGTACAGACAAGTGAAGCTGAAGAATAGAAAACTAGATAGGACGCTTTTGTGGCAGGGTGAGGGAAAGCCTCCCACAGCTGCATAATATTTCTAAGACATTTGCTTTGGGACCCTAGTGACTAAGGTAATTAAGAGTTCTAGATGCCACACTAAGGAGTGGGTTAGATATGATTCTGTTTCAGGATGACAGAAATATTTATCCAGCATTAGCTACATACTAAAAACTACACACCTTTACATTTTACATTGTCTAATGCAACCCAAAAGCAATTTATTTGTGTTATTAGTAAATGAGAAAAGTGAGACACTGATATGTTAAATGGTATTAGGAATCCTGTTCCCACTAATGGAGGAAAGGTCAAAGGCATCCTTAGCTGAGAGCTGACATCCAAGGGTCCAAATCTTCCAAAACTGAAAATAGTTATGATGCCTCCACTTACGTGACGCATTTATCCTGGGGCTACTGTAGTTTGTTAGGGAGTACCTAACCAGCACCTTCCTCAACCAATTAAACAACAAAAACAAAACTAAAGAAAGTAATGACATCATTAATGTGAAATCCATTGCACCCTCTTACTCAGGCCAAAATCCAACTTGCTTTATTTTTCTGAGCATTCAACAGAGCAGCTCCCACTCCTCAAGGACTTTTACTGTGAACGATTCTGCTCAAAGAAATGAGGTTAAAAATGTAGTCAGTCCAAACAGTTTCCCTCTCTGTTTCTACTATCAATTATGCAAATGTACTTACATGCAACCAGAACCTGCATCAAATCGGATTACTGTTCTCAGAATAGGTGCTATTTCCTACGAGTTCTTAGTGTTCACTTGCTGAGCCATGTTACAAGGCCCTTGCTGTAGGATGTAATGAGAGATTCATTTAGCTTTATTTTCTGTCATCTCAAGACTTCTACTCTACACTCAAATTATATATCCTTTACAATCTCCTAAGTATAAACATTTGCTTAGCCTTCTTGCAGTTCCTTCTGCTCTCACCTATCTCATTTGTACCTAACTAGTTCACTACCATGGCAACCTGTGCTGGGAGCTGCTCAGCAGCAGGGACTAGGGGTCCTTCACACTGGAATTCATATAAACTACCTATACACTGAGTAAGAACATTGTCTTACCCTTGTTTTCATTCCAATATGCAGCACAGGGAAGTGTTCAAGCAAGTCTCTGGACTACAGGCAGGAAATAAACTATGCCAATATGTATTTACCCCGGGAAGTAACCAACTATGTTCTAAACACTCATCAATTTTCAGAGTCCCTTCCCTTCCAGGTCACCTGTAAATCTTTCACAGGAGTTGGATGCAGTCCCCTTGAATGTCCATCTGGGGGAGCTACACTTAACCTAAATGAGGAACACTGACATTATAGTCTTCAGCTCCACCTGTTATGGAACCCTGACCGGTAACATCTTTAAATATCCAGACAC